GAGACGTCGTTCTCAGAGTCGACAAGGGAGTTGGTCCCGCAGCCTTTGGACGTGCAGCAGATGGAGACTTCTGAGGCGCGACGTAACGATGCAGTGAGTACCTGCCACTAAATGGGTGCTAGTAGGGAATAACAAGTACAGTTACACCCATACCTAAGGGCTTCGGTTTATGGTGTTGTGGATAGTGCGGATCGCGAAGCGTCTGTTGATGGGCAGTCTGATGGAAACATGCGGGTTGGGGAATTTGGAGGGTTTGGCGGGGGTGAGATGAGAGATAACGGGAAGCAGTAGGGTTAGGTCAATACCATCTGGAAACGTTCGCGTTATGCGAATGTGCAAAGGGAACATGTCCAACATTTCACGCGGCGCATCTCATGCTCCCATCTAGTCAAGCTATATCTTCCTCGTTGCAGTCTTGACTGAAGCTGGAGTTTTCTATATGGTCCACTACATGAGCAATGAATCAATGAGACGAGCACTTCCTCCACGTGTATTTGCAGAGTGAAATGAAGTGAACAAGTCTTGTAACAGCAGAGTGCGCCTTGGTCTTTGCTCGATAGCTGAGCTTCAAAGTCAGCCTCACAACCAGCTTCCTTTTCTCACTGCTGAGTCAGCCATGGATGAGCGAGCAGGGCTGAGGAATGACGGAGGTCTATTCCTCCGGCGGTATCTGGTCACGTGTCGAAGGGCACAGCGTTGTTTCACATAGCACCAGTGCAGATTCATTCTTGATCAACGAGTGGTTGAATAGTCAGTGCGCGGTTGCACGTCTAATTTCGCGACGCATCAAAAGGCACAGTGGCGTTTTTGTACTAACTGAATTGGTGTGAGGTCCACACAATTGAGAGAGAGTGTGTAGCAGCCGTCGCCCGCCTCGCACATCGTGCTCTGTCTTTGCTTTTGAGAATCAATCATCACTGCCAATCTACTACGAAGGAACCCAGACACGGAACTACGAACGCAATCCGGGGGCACTTTCGCGACCGACTGTCTACAGATCAAGACATCTTTCTCGTATTTTTGACTCTGCACGATTCTTCACGACCAACACCGCGCAATCCAGCATTTCGAGCCATAAAGAAGACTGTTCGATATGTCTCCTACCCCAGTCCAGGGTCAAACAGGCGATGATCGCTTCGATCGGGCTATCGATATCCCGGATGATTACCCTTTGGCTAGCGAGGCTGGCCTCGGGTATGTTTTTTTTTTTTAAATCGTTGCTAACCAGATTGAGAACAGAAGCCGCTCCATTTTTGGAAGCCCTTCCATTTTCTGGTGTAGTGGATACCAGTATTCCTACACTATTGTTGTCAGCCCTACCTTGGCGGAAGATGCTCAAGCCGTGCTGGATGGTAAAGCCGACTACCTTCTGCATGACGACGGACTACTCGCCGATACCGTTGGCTTCAATAGTATCGACCAGGGACTTGCCTACGCTGTAGTCCCACAGGTCATCCACATTCCCGTCGCTGCACAGGCCAACGACCCGGACGTGATGCCGTATGGGTCACCACCCCAGCTTCAGCCTCAGGTTCCTGTTGCACCCATCAACCCGGCGTTCAACAACCAAGTTCAGCATGCCGCCATTACAGCTCCTCAGTGCCCATACGGGTGTTCTGGTACGTTTCGTCGCCGTGAGGAGTATCGCCGCCACATGAAGAAACACAATGGTCCATTCTTCCCTTGCACTTATCCTAACTGTAGCAAGATGTTTTATCGCCAGGATAAGCTGCGCGATCACCTGGCCAAAGGCCATTGAGGTGGTGTGTACGGAACGAACACTATCATTGCTCGGGGGCAGCCTAGATAATACCAGTGGCGTGCTAGACAATGTTATAATGAATGCAAAGCAGGTCAAAATCGGCGGAGGGTTTCATTTGTATTTTGTACTTTGTGCTTTTGAGCTCTTATGTATCCCCTCCTGTTACATAAAAAAGGCAATGGCAATAGTATATTACGGTACTTCATCGTCTCCTCTGTATCTGAAAAGAAGTGATCTCACATGCGAAGTGGAAGATTTCTTCCGCCAGAACGGCGTGGTGAACAGTCTGGAGGGTCGAGGACCAATGGTGTCTCGTACGTTCAACGAAAATAACGGGCCACAAAACTCATCATAGGCCTCTGCTCGATCTCGCAGGCGAGCCACAAACATCGAGTCAGCCTCGCCGTTCAACGAGAAGACTTGAGCATCAGCCGGACAGCCCGACGTCGTTACGCTTACCACTGTGGAAGCATCATCTGCGGCCTCTTTAGTCCAAAGTAAAACGCTGAAGAGATCCCGTATCTTCATCAGATGCTGCTGGAGTGACATGGCTGATGATCTAACAATCTGCACGTCATCCTCCGCAGCCCCTTCGCACATCTCTTGGATGAGAGGCTCGTCGATGAAGCTGAGAAACATGACGCATAGCCAACCCTTACGGGCTTCCGACTTGACGGCATGTAAAGGTTGGAGAGCTCTGCACATGTGCCCGAAAGTGGGTTGAAGTAGTAAAGGGTCTACCAAGTCAAGTGAAAGCCTTCGGATGATGTCTGATACGCGATGACTGTATGCTATGCTTTCGGGAAAGTCAAAGTCGCGCGTCTCGCGTAGGTGATTAAATGCTGACTCCAAAACTTGCGAGAGTGGTAGTACCTCAGTGACGCGCCCGAGTTGTATCGCATCGAGAGTAAGCTCTTTAGATCCAATGACGGCGTTATGCTTCTTGTTGGGCTTTAGACGATCCTCAAGTCGAGTCAGGACAAACGGGGCCATTTCTCCATCTCGAAGTTGCATGGGAACACCAAGCGACGGCGGAACAGCATACAACCAGCTCATCCGGCCTTCTTGCACCAGCACATTTACAATAACCTCAAGTGCTTCGTTGGCACTATGTGTTGGGTTTGGCTTCACATTCTTGAGTCGCAACATACCACATAAGGCATAGTACTTATCCGAAGGTACCGTCGCTTTGAGTGTAGAAGCTAGCTGCAAAACGTTGGCGTCGCATAGCTCGTATGTCTGGGCTTCGTCGTAGTTCTGCCGAAGATACCACAACCTGCGGCACCAGGACGCAAACTCATCGAGCCATGTTTCTTCCAGATTACGACGGTATAGAAGCGCAGCGATAACAGCGGTGTCGGCGAGGGAGAGCCAGTGGCCACTATCATCCCAAGTGAGCAAGTAGTTTTGGCTGAGCAGTATCTCTTGTAGAATCCATGCTCTTTCACGCCACGTCGCATGACACAGGATCCTCAGCGCATTGAGGGCTGACGCCTCGAGCTCCGAGTCAACCTCCGGCAGCGATGTGCACGATTGACACAGAAGACAGTTGTGCGGGACCATTTGCGCAATGTCTCTAAGCCTCAGTGGGCCAGACAATGGGCAGTGCATGCGTCTCTTGACTTCCAGCACTGGGCTTAGATCCAGCCCAGGTACCCGCAGGAGCAGGATCGTGCATCGCGCCTCATAGTATATCTCGTCCATGCGCGGTATCCAATACGACTTGTCCTCGCTCGAATCCTGATCGATGCACATACAATCTAGCCAACAGCGAGTCGCCTTCCCCGTGATAGCTTTCATGCCCGGAGAGGCACGCTCTCCCAGAAGATATGTCAGCCGCTTTTGGAGCGCTGCCCAGCTCGGAAGCTTTTCAGACGCATTATCTCGCCATTCGCTCCATACGTATGATATCGCGACGTGGGTGCGGAAGCCGCTGGTGAGGTAGGCGTGGCGGTCGATCTGGCGGTGGAACAAGGAGGTGCTTGGGTCTATGAGGGCAAAGGCGGATCGGGTCGACGAGAGATGCGATTTTGGGAGTTCTTCCGCCATTCAGACATGGTCGTAGTCATGAACATGGCGCTTTTGGTGCGGTCGGGATGTGAACGTGGGACGAGTTGAGTAGGTGGAACGCGCGTGAGTGCTATCGAATCGTCGACTTCGGGGCCAGCCCTGGAGCTGGAGCGATGCAGCGACTATACCTATCTGGGTTTAGCCACATACCTCTCTCCAGCGCGTCTGATAGAACGCGTCGAAACCCACTGAGGAAACGTCGCATCCATCTGCAGCTCGATACTATCCAAAGTCCTGTACTGCCTTCAGGCTTGTTTGGCCGACCACCTTATCATCATGCGTGGTGCTATCCCAAGTGCTCCACCGTCTAACCAACGACATGGCCCACACAGCTGCATCGCTCAGTCAATGTGTCAATGGCACCTCTGCGGTCACTTGTCAATGATTCTCAGCTATCTGAGTCATTCCAAGATATAGCCTCATAATCTTTGACAGCAACGTGACAGAAGGTGTCAGAGATAGGCGAGGCTGTGGATGCATCGCAAGATCGCGACCCCCGATGACGATAACGCGATGACGTCGTCTGAGGCCGCGACATCCCAAAACACGTCTGACATGTGAAGGACCGGTAGCACAGACACGCTACACCGACTATCTCCCGTCTCGAGGCCGTTGAAAGCAAAACTTCGCTTTCCATCTGTCCGAGCCAGTAATGGCTCTATTTTGAGGATCAAAGTCTTGTCAAGCGCGTCTCAGCTTGCATCCAACCGGTCAACAAGAACCCTTTTCCGAAGCCGGAAAACACATTCTAGCCGATATCAAATGCAAGATGGCGAGCCTCTTGCTCGCGGCCCTGAAAATCTCAGCCGCACTAACGGCTAACAGTGGGTCCGCACGCGTTATCATCACCCCACTTAGCGCGTGAGGCGAGCGTGGCGCATCATCTTGATGTCGTTCGACGCAAATTCTCGAAACGGTTCCGGGACAAGTCGGGATGGTGCTTGTTGCGCACGATTTTTGCTCGCCAATTTTTCGTTGGTGACTGTATTCAGGGTCATGTTGGGAAGGCGCGGCGAAGGCGGAGGTGTATAAGAGGGATTGTGGCTCTGGGGTTTTGTCTACTTTCATCCACATCTGCATGCATCTCGCTTCTTCTCAAACGAAGATAATATACGTCATACCTCAATAACTCAACCTCAAACAAATCCATCAAACAATCAACTTCAAAATGCCTTCCTTCAAGGGTATGTTCATCTCTCTACCGACGCTTTCGTCCATACTAACAACGTCTCCAGACTCCGTCTCTTCCACTCCCGCCGGTGCCTCTGGTGCCCCAACCCCGGCCTCCACCAGCGCACCCACATCAACCCGCGAGACTCTCCACGCCGCATCTGCCGCACTTGGTCTGACCTCCCAGGGTCTTGACCTGTGCCCTCACTGCTTCCGCGAGATGTCGCACTGCAACGAGCGCTTTGAGTTCGCTTAAGCGTACTACAACTCAAACTCAAAAGTCGACAATCAAACACACTCGGCATTGTACTTTATCAGAACTCTCTTGCTCGACGACAGCGAACGCTGGCGTTTTCGCATTGAGGGGCTACGACATTTCAAATCTTTCGGCATGGCATTGGGTATTGGATGGACGGCATGATTGGCGTTTATTCTGGATTGGGGGAAACTTACAGGAAACGGCATACCCTACTTTGAGCGATTGTATATCACCACGAGGATAGAATCTTCGTATCGCATCTCAATCGATTTCACACACATTTTTCGATCATGCTTCAACATTAGTGAATTTTCGTGTCCTCGTTTCCCTTGACTTTGAGATGATGTTGCCGACCATAATGCGGAGCTGGCGCAACCACGTTGCGAACTGGGAAACCTGCTTGCACAGTCTGCTGTACTCTGTTCACGTAAGTAATATCAATAGCTTCGAAGCAGAGGAATTCAAGATGTAAAAGACATGCCCCCAGTGGCGAGAGTGTTGGTGGGCTGACGTCATCGCGAGCTTCTGCATTCTGCTGTTCAAATCTCACTGCAGCGTCCCAAATCTGCAATTCGCATTTTGTGTGGGCTCAATGCGTCCAGTATACGACGGACGCGATATAGTCGGTGTGCCCAGGTGGGTAGTCTGGAGATACGCGCAGCCGCTACCCCGCCGATACCCGGACGCAGCTTCCTCAGAGCGTTAGTCAACGCCCTACGCATCACGATAAGACTTTTCCTCAACACCAAGCTTTTCTCTCTCATTCCCATGCCAGACCTCCAGCATGGCTATCGCCCAAGAATTCCGACGTCCTTCGACCATTCAAGAGGAGGAGACCACACCCCTCCTGCCGCGCGATGAGCCGAAACCAAGAGAAGAAAAAGTGGCCATCCCGGTGTTATTCCGGGCTTTGATATGCGCGTTCCTTGTGTCGTTGACATTCAGTATCACGCAGGCTCCTATGCTATACGCTTTCCGGATATTGACCTGCGATGCGTATTACGAACATCATGAGCCGGATCCGAACGCTTTGGATAGATGTGCGAGACGCGAAATCGACGCTGGAGCGGCCAGGGCTTTTGCGCTTCTTGCATCATCAACGACGATATTCGGTCTCGTCAATTTGCTGGTAGCTGCATGGACTATCAAACGCCTGGGCGTCAAGTTGGCTTTGATCATCCAGATCTTCTGGCCTGCGGTCCGCCTTCTGATTCAGAATATCGGCATCATGCATGGCAGCAGCGCTGGCATCATGATCGTGCAATGCTCGCAAGTCATCACAGTACTTGGCGGCCCTAATGGATACGTTTTGTGTCTCAATTCTCTGGTGGCGGACGTCGTCGAGCATGAAAAGCGCACAGGCGCATTGGGCAGACTCCAAGGCTGCATGTACTTCGGAAGCGCTATCGGGTTTTTGATCGGAGGCATTATCGGCGACTACTTTGGTATACTTGCGCCCTTTCGAATGACTCTGGTGTTATTCCTGCTTTGCTGCGTATATGTAGCAGTATCGTTACCTGCTATGCCACCACCAGAGGAAGACAAGGATGCGAAACCTCGCGAGACCACTGGCATCGCGCGTTTCTTTGGCCCCCTCCGCATCTTTGCACCGCAAAAGTGGGAACTACCCAATGGAAGCACTCGCCTGCAGTTTGGAGCACTCACTCTCGGTATCGGCGTATTCTTAGGTATCCTTGCAACTGGCTACATCCCGATCCTACTCCAGATGTATGCTACCGTCGAGTTCAACTTTGGCCCCAAGGAGAACGGAGCACTCATCTTCTTATACTCAGCATTGAGAGGTGGTTTCCTCTCTCTTGTCTTTCCCCTCATCGTCGCTGCAGGGCGAAAGTGGCTGGGTGACGGCGTGAAGAACAAGTTGGCGGAGGACGAAGAAAGAGAATCGACAGTGCAGGTTCATATCATACCACCAACTCCGGCAGTAACAGAAACTGTCGACCCTCTGGAGAGCGAAGAGCCGCCCAACCCCGAACCGACGAACGAACAGGAGACGTTTGCATTCGATTTGTTCTATGCGCGCTTCAGCCTTTTGCTTGATGGCATACTTACCGGTCTTGCCGTATTCGTATCACAAGGTTGGCAAATGTACATCGTTGCTGTGATGCTGCCATTTGCTGCAGGTACCGGTGCCGCGTCCAAGGGATCGATCCTGCAAATGCTACCGAACAGCGAGCGTGTCGACGCGCTCAGCGGCATTACGCTCGTCGAAAATATCGCGCGTCTTTCGACCTCGGCCGTATTTGGAGTCGCCTTCGCTGCGCTTGCCGAGGCTGGCCAAAGTCATCTCACTTTCATCTGTAATGCCGCTGTTGCATTGCTTGGCTTTATTGTCTTACTTCTCTCGCGCTTTCCACCGAAAGGTAGTCGTCGGATCGGGATATAATACAGAAATTTTGGAGGAGCGCGCACAAGGTCAATAGACCATGAGATTGTGGACCATTGCAGCCCTTACGCGCTGGATGCCTGAGGGCGCGACAGACACGCGACCCATTCGCCGTTAAGCTCCCGGGGTCGCTTAGGCCTGCCAGACACAAGAACGTGAACATCGCCATCCCTATCTTGTCCCGCGACTCGTCAGCGAGCTTGTCAAGCTTCTAGTTAGATCCCTTCCTTTACTCATATAACTGCTCGACAACGCCTTGGCAGCTGCCTACTTGGGCTGCAGTCCTGGTTGCGGGAAAACAATAAGTTGCGACTCATACGCCCATCGTGGTTTCGACGCATCCCAGGCTGCACCCCACATGATCGTACCGCATCGCATCGCATCGCATAGCAGCGACGTAGTAATGAGGAGCTTTTTGGTCGCGTCGCTTTTGGCGAGCGCAATCAACGCACAATATAATCTCACGTATTTACACTTGATGAACCCAATGGAGCCGACTCTTACCTTCATGTCGTCCGATGACACTGCCACTACCTACGAGAAGCAGTGTCCTGAAACAACGACTCCAACGCCTACACCTTCGTCGACGTACTTGTGTATGATACCTGTACCCACTCTCTGCTGACACCGCCGCTAACCTTTACTCAACAGCTCCAGCCGAAGAATCAGCACGAGAAGCGTCTCTCGACAGCATGATATCCTGGGCGCGGTCATTCTACAAAACCGCGGTACCGGTAGAGACACCAGAAGCAGAACTCGACGGTTGCATTCCTTTCACCATGCTTCAAGGCCCCGAGACATGGGAATACCACATGACCATGCCAAGTGCAATGACCAGGAACGGTGCTTGTTCATGGAAGGGTGTGCTAACCGAAGTCCCCGTCACGTGCGACGCCGATTATTACGATGAGAAATATTCTATACTTAGCGGAACACCGACGGTTTTTTCGCAATCGGAATTGAGAGCATGGACAGACCTGAAGTTTGCTATGGCTACTATCGTAGGCGCTACGTCCACACCTACACCGGCAAGCACGGGTGATGCGAGTGGGGCTGAGGAAACTGGGGTAGAGGCTTCGGACAGCGAAGGACGGGCGCCGGGTATGCCACTGCCGACTGGCGCGATGCTGATGGTCGGTGGAGCAGCAGCGTTTGGTGGAGTGGCTTGGGGATTCTAAGATCGGAGTTGGCCGTGTTTCAAGGCGACAGCATTACACGTTGGGAACAGCTGCAGCGCGGCGTACCACAAGCTTCAGTCACATTGTCGCAATGCATCCATCCTCTTTAATGGCCATGCTTTTAGTGTCGGAGAGACTGATGAATGGTCGGCTGTGAAGTCCGTAATAAGATGAATGCATCGCATCATCGCAGCATCGCATCTTGTCGGATCGAAAATCGCGAGTATAGTTATGCACATCGAATGCGACGTGAGACTTCCCGTCTCTACATGCCGAGAACCGCATCCTGCAGAAGAGTGGAGAGTCTTTCTAGAGAGGTTACATGTGGGTTGACATATAGCGTTGCATACGGCAGATGGATCGAGCATGACCGTGGAGGCACGGCACGGCCCACAGAACCGCGGTCACGATTATGCCAGTTCAGCCTCGATCGACGAGATACACCGGAAGTAGAAGCGAGGGGGGTTCGGAATTTCGGCATCATAACAGTCAGCCAACTCGGCTGGGCAAGGCGTGTAGTAGCCCTGTGGCTGTGTAGGAATTGTTGAACAAATGGTATGTATGATTGGATTTCGAAATGTATATGTGAATAACGAAGCCAGGTAGGCTTCCAACGGGGCCTGATCAACAAACATTTCCAAGCGTCATGGGCGAAGAAAGGCAAAATCGGAGAATGGAAGTGCAATGGGCAAGTCTGGCGCAATGGAGGCGATCTTGAGATCAATGCATATGGGCTCTCATATTTGGGTTGGGCGCTTGGGTAATCGTTGCAATGGGCCGGATCATTCAGACGCGCATCCACCAGAATCAGATGCCGCTGCACATACCACTCACTTCTTATCCTCCACCTTGTCAGAGTCGTAAGCTGGCGGCGCTGACAAGCCGGCTTCGTACTCCTGCCCAGGCGCAACACCACCCACAATGTTTGTGTCGTCCTTTCCGAGTACTGTCTGGGGCGCGTATTGTCTGTTTCCTTCCTCGCGGCGTTCTGGAGGTACGAAGATATTGAGGCTCTTGGGGATGATGAAGCCGACAAGGACGACTAGGACGATGAGATGGGCGACCATGAAACCGAAGATCTGTAGGGGGTCGCCACGGATGGCGTAGAACGTGGGGTAGGCGAAGCAGAAGATGATCGAGAGCACAGGTGCGGCGAAGTATCGAAGGATGGGTGCCCAGAAGACGGGTAGTCGCCACTGCTTGCCCACACACACGACATAGTTGAGGTCGCGCGCAAGTTGGTGTCCCTATATAGTATTAGCAAGTGAATATGTCACTGGAGAAGGGTGTACTTACAGAGTAGAGGCCAACCCACCAAACGCGGTTCAAGATCTTGTTACGGCCCCAAAATTTAGGAGCTGGAACTGTGGGATCTTTGGCGACGAGAATTGCAAGGATTGTGCCAATGATGTAGATACCAAAGCCAACACCAGCACCAATCTTGTCGGAAACTGTATGTGCGATGGCGTTGCCGATGATCTGGGCACCAATGTACGAACATTGGTACAGCCAGAAGGATGGTGCGCCAACCTGACCTATGACGTCGACGAAGCGGTAGAACGAAGTAGCGCATACGCACTCAGCCCATACTACGAAGATGAGTGAAATGTTGCTGATCTGTGCGTCAACAGCATTGGTAGCTTCATAACCGAATCCCGTTGAGTAGAACAATGATACCAGGGCCGAGATGACGGTGATGATCGTGGCGATGGTCGAGTGCTTGTACTTCCTTCCCCAGTGAGTGTCGCAGATGGTAGTAATCATAGCATCGAGCAGCGCGTACGATGAACTGATACCAAGTAGGAACAGAGTCAGAAAGAACAGAACAGACCAGAATGGAGCTCCAGGCATTTCCTGGATGGCGCTGGGGAGGGTGTAGAAGCCGAGCGTATATGTTCCGACCGGATCACCAACACCAGGCTGCAGGCCCAAGTAACCGACGACACCGAAGACAGCAAAGGCCGCGAACGACTCAAACAGTGCGTTAGCACTGCAGATCATCATGGCGTCTTGGACAGCATCAGAGAACTTGGAGTTGTACGAGGCGTAGGCAGAGTAATAGCCAAAACCGACACCGGTAGAGTAGAAGACCTGACTCGTTGCAGCTTGCCAAATCTTGCCTGCGGCAAGCTGATCGCCGTTGAACTCCCCAAAGTATAGTTTGATACCTCGGCCAGCGTTGGGCAAAGACGCACCACGGCCGACAAGGATAACGGTCATGATAATGGGCAAGACGATGGTAATGTAGACGACGCGAGCGGTAATGGCGATGCCTTTGTATAAACAGATCCAAACGATGAACCAAGAAAAGAGTACCCAACCGACAAGCTCGCCATCGAGGTTCACACCAGGATATGAGGCATACTGAAGGACTCGACTTCCATCATCGCTGTAGACCGCGGGAATGGCGGGGACTTCGTTGACGACATGACTGAAGTACTCCTGTGGGTTATCTTTCCAGGGGAAGTCGTTTGCGGACCGGAACGAACTGCGGAAGTACACCATGACCCAGGATAGAATGGGAATGTAGTATATGGCCACCGCGTAACCAACGCAGACCATTCCGAAACCAACGCCGGTAAAGCGTCGATCAAGACCGTTGTAACCGATGACACAGCCGCTGCGGTAGGCCTGTCCAATAGCCACTTCCAAGATAAGCACCGGGATCGCGAGGAGGCAGACAGCCATGAGGTAGGGTATAAACCATTGAATGCCGTTGTTGTTGAAGACCTGGGAAGGGAAACGTAACAAATTTCCGAATCCCATCGCTCCGCCCATGGAAGCAAGTACGTATGGTGTTCGAGAGGGCCATTCCGCGCGACCGTCAGGCGCCACGCGAGGCGGAGGGAACATCGCCCGCACGGCTTTACGGATGGCGTTCATTGTGGGCAAATGGTATCGATGCGCTCAATGAGACGAGGTGAAGGAGTAGAGTGATATGAGAGGCTGCATGGAGAGGGCAAAGAGACAAACCCGGCAGAGGTGCAGTGAGAGAACCCAGCCTGGGCACAACTCTCTCTTCTAATGATGTCGTCGCACACCCCTGCACTCCTGATCTTAGATCAGAGTCGCGGCGCGCGTCACCACGCAGCCACGGCCAGCGACGACTCGACGCCTCAATGATAACATGTCGCGTGCCAGGGTAGCACTACGGGCATGATACCCGTCTGCAGCTACTGATACCAACATTCAGGCCCGTGGGAGGCGTTTGCGCAGGAACTTGGTAGGTGGAGATGTCCCATGGGTGCGGAGGCGCGCCTTGGCAGCCAAGGTATGTTCGGGTGGAACGGCACCTCCACGTCTTGGAAGGGAGTCATGCTCGGCCTGGTTGGGCTCGCAGTGTGCATATCAATGTGGGCGTGAGATAAGAGGGTATCGATATGCAAACATGTCTCTTGTATCAGCCTCCAGCTGATCCATCGCCGTGCCGTAGGGTTTTGAGGGTGTCGTCGCGCCTCATCTCTTGTGCAGAGCGGCCAAGGGAAATCCAGTTCGAGGTCCTGCACAACAGAAGCAACGTTGCACCAGAGGTTTAGCGCCATGTGCCGACTGTTCCTCGTCTCCAAGACTCGGACATGCCGTGATAAGAGCGACAGGCCTTCGAAATGGCAAATGCATGACCGACGAAAGTCCGGCAAGAGATCCGAGAGGTCTTCGTAGTCATGGTGCTAGGTAATCGGAACCGATTGCAGTAGTCGGAGTGGGATGTAACGCGTACGTGATTCGGGCTGACAGTAGCAGAGGGAAGAGTGGCTTGGGCGCTGGTTATACATATCTCCTTGTTGCACGCCCTATTGTCAAACTTCGAAACGCGCCCTGCCAGCACGCCTACGTCATGCCATGCGCTAAGCTATCTTTGTCCTTAGCGTGCTGTTCTGCCAACACGCGTCTGCCGTCCAGACCATAACATCAACATTTCACACATCCACGTGTTCTTCGTAATAGCCGCTCATGCACATATCGCCCCTTATTCAATGATAGCAGTAGAATCATCAACACCAGCGAGCAAAAGGATAAATACGCCAAAGTTAGTCCTTGCGCCGACTGCGCGCCATTGCCAATATAGCCCTGCCGATACATACGATACGTTATCCAGCTCTTCCATGCAGGGGATCAATCCTTCGAAAAGACGCATCGCAACACCTCTCAGCACTTATCTAAAGCTACCTGATCCAGCCACTTGGGCCACCCCACTGGCCCTTCACGTGATATCGATCATAAACCCAAGGAAAGAAGTCTTTCTTTAGATGATAGAAAGCACGTCTCGGCACTGCCTGATCAACACCAAACCATGTATTGAACGTCTCTTTCGGCATACCACCGTATTTGAACTCCGCAAGAAGCACCTTCTTGTCACCGGTCAGAAGCGGACATGAAGTATAACCATCGTATTCGGACTCTGGCTCCTTGCCATCCATAGTACGCAAGAGATTTTGTGTGAGAATGGGCGCCTGGGATGTGATCGCAGCCACTGTTTTCGATGTAGGCAGACTAGCCGCATCACCAAGCGACCATACGTTCTTGAACTTCTTGTGCCGGAGAGAGTGCTGATCCACGTCTACGAATCCCGCGTCGTTCCCCAACCCGCTCTCTTTCACAAAAGCGTGCGGTACATTCCGGGGCGCAACATGAAGGAAGTCAAAATGTCGCTGTACGGGCTGTTCGCCGTTCGGTCGTTCAAATGTCGCAGTATTCCCATTAATCTCGATAAGGTTATGTTCGAAGAGGCCTGTGACTCCTCTCTCTTCTCGCATTTCGTTCAGTTTGACGCTGTACTTCGGTACGCCAAACATAGTGGGCAGACCAGTCGCGAAAGTCATCTTGATGGTGCTTTTCTCGGGATCGTTGCTGTAGAGGCCTGTTCGTTTCCAGTAGTCCATTGCGAGCCACATGAGTTTTTGAGGCGCACCTGCGCATTTCACTACACCGGAAGGCTGGGTGAAGATGGCTGAGCCCTTTTTGAGGCGCTGAATGTTTTGAAAGACTTTGTCGCAATGGTCGTAGCTGTATATGGATGCTACGACGCTATCAGGATTTCGCATAGCTTCGCGAAGGCCTTTGACGCTGTTGTAATCGACTTTGATGCCTGGTGCGATGACGAGGTGGTCGTATTGAAGTTTGTCACCCCCTCCCAAGAACAAGTGGTTGTCTTGCGGGTTAATGGCCGCGACATTGCTGTTGTAGAACGTCATTCCAGACGCGACGAGCTCGCTCATCGGCCTTTTGAACTGTTCTTTATGGCTCAAGCCGCCGCCCACCAATGTCCAGCCCGGTTGGTAATGATGCCAAGTGCTCGGATCGACAATGGCAATATCGTCCTTTTTGAAGCGTCCTTTTCGTAAGAGTTGATGGCTGACTGCGACACCAGCTGAACCGTTTCCAATGACAACGACCTTGTGATGTTTTGATATACTGGTCACAGGTGAGACAGTCGCGAGGCCTCGAACAGCTGGCCGACTTTGCGTTGTGAGCGCAGTTCGGAGCGACGTCGATGTGAAGCGATGGCACGATGTATACATTCCGGCCAAGTAGACTGCTATTTCTTAGCTGCTGATGGTCGTGTGGACGTATCGGTTAACGATAAGTCGAAGAGGCAATATGAACGATCCTTGGTTTCGCTCGAGTAACTGTAGGTCTGTGGTAATGTGATTCCTTGCGATTTTGCGGTTTGTGGATGGTGGACGAAACGACTCTTCAAGAGCTTCGAAAATAGTAAGGGAGTAAATTATTCATCCCAAAGGCCATTGTCATGTCGGCGATCAAAAGCGTTTCGTGTCGGGGATCAAGAGCGAGTCATGTCGGGGTCGTCGTGGGATAAACGCCGAACCCTGCATAGAGGTGGCACCACCTGGGCACAGTCAGCTTCCCGAGATTGATAAATACTTAAAACGAAGCGGAGGAGGTATTGAACAAGTGGCCGCTGATACACGGATAATATTGACTATCCCATCCTAGGACATGAAGAAGTTACGCTCATCTGGACGCATCCAGGCGCTTTGGCGATTGCTGAACTTGTCTCACCACACCCCCAAGGTCCGCATTTGGAGGCAAAAGCAACGATCGATGGCTCAAATGGCTCCTACGATACCTCAATGCATCGCACGAGGAACAGTCAGCTTGCCACATCCACCGAACTATGCGAGGTGGGCAGGCCGCATCGTCGCCAACCTGACCAATCCAACTTTACAGATCCCGCGGAAACCCCGAAACCGATCAAGTTACAGCACTCACACCATAAGGTCCTACGAGCCAGCAATCCACAGCTTATTTGAAGACAAGACAGGGACATGGCAATACGTGGTAGCAGACCCTTCTTCCAAGAAAGCCGTCATTATCGATCCTGTGCTCGATTATGATGGGCCTACCCAGACAATCAGTACCCAGACAGCTGATGATCTATTGGCCACGGTCTTGGAGGGTGGGTATCACATCGAGAGAATACTGGAAACGCACGCACATGCCGACCACTTGACAGCAGCTTCTTACCTCCAGCAGCGTCTCTCATCGTGGCAGAGTCTCAAACCACCCATCTGCATCGGAAAGAGAATTCGGGATGTCCAGAAGCGTTTTGCTGTGAGATATGGTATTCCAGCCAGTGAGTACGAAAACGCGTTCGATCATCTTTTCGAAGATGATGAGATGTTCGAGGTTGGGAGTTTAAGGGTGAAGGTCGTTCATCTTCCAGGTCATACCCCAGATCATATCGGTTATCAGGTCGGCAGTAAGTGCTCGCTGCAGCGATCTGTATTTGTGCTCAATACTAACACTTTGTAAGGCAACGTGTTCTGCGGCGACTCAATCTTCCATGCTGACATCGGCACTGCACGATGTGATTTTCCAGGCGGGAGTGCAAAGAGTTTGTATGCTTCAGCACAAAAGCTAATGAGATTACCGGACGAAACCAGGATTTGGACAGGGCATGACTATCCAGCGTGTCCGCAACGATGCGAAGCCGTGCCTTGGATGACTGTACGGGATCACAGGGAGAAGAACAGACATCTCGCGAACCATGCGGAGGACGATTTTCGAATCCTGCGAGAAGAACGTGATGCGAGTCTGAACGCGCCGAAGCTGCTGCATCCGTCCTTGCAGATAAACATACGCGCTGGTAGACTTCCATTACCGACACCAAGTGGTGAGCTTTTGATGCACCTCCCGGTCAAGGGGAAGAAATGGTCATGGGACACGGGGACTGAGCGGCACTGAGCGGCACTGAGCACCTCTAGGCAGGTCCAAGCGCTATGCCGACGGGAACGATTCTAGAGATTATGTACACAATACAACGATCTTTTCCAATTCGGTTCGCGCAGATGAAACGATTGTTGCGTCCTTGCATCTTTAACCGAATGGTTGAAGTAGACCTTGAAGGCCATATCGGGCTTATCATATGCCTAACGTATTGTTATCAAGGCCCACAAGTCCGTACAAATCCTGGAGATCGAAGTCGGGAAAAGCATCATTATCGATTGATGTGGCCGGAGGAGCCACTATACTGGACGGTGAATCGACGGAGGAACCACGGAATACTGCGGATGCTACCCTTTTCAGGGTGCGTAACACAATTCCAGCAGCCGACCATTGGCGGCTCATAGACTTGAGTACCCCGAGTAACAGCTTGACTCGGTCAGCGTGCTGGTCCAAGCAACGCCGGGGGCTTTTGTCGTGCATCGCGCCGATGGAAAGCTGAACGACAGCAGCGAGAGCCAGTGGATACACAAACAATGGTGTGTGCTTTTGAGTTGGAGTGCGCAGCGCCGCTAACATAGCTAGGGTCTTGGAGGCTTCGATGGCTTTGACGGAGTGGATATGTTGTCGATTGCAGGGACAAAGGAGCTTGGTACAATTGGCTCCAAGTACGTCTTGTGTTAAAAGGTCAGAAGATATCAGATCGCCTCTGGGGTAATGTACGAGGATAGTGCTCCATTGGATGATAGTGTGCGCTTGGAACATGAGTTCGTCCAGATCACCGAAGGTGTTTGAGATCTCCGCTTCGCTTTTGGAGCGTGGTAAGTGATATAGGAACGCAGCAAGCGCATTGTCAACGGCCTGTACCAGATCTCGATCCACCCCATGCTTTCCAGTGATAGTCAGAGCTCGTCCCAGAAGACGTACGGCTTCTATGCGGTAGCAGAAGGAAGAAAACACCTTTTCCTCTTCGGCAAAGACGTTGCCGTGAAATTCGGCCATAGTTGCTGGCATAAAGCACATTCCGGCTTCGTAAGTAAAGTCTTCGCATGGTAAAAGAACATCAGCGTTTACTGTGTTGGTTTTAAATGTCGATTTTCGCTGCAATGCCGCGATGCAGCCATCGATCACGTACAATTCGTACCAGGTTCTCCGCATGCTTTCTTCCAGTACAGTCAGATCACCAGCATGCGTTGAAGCAAAGCTCCGCTGGTGCATGCCGAGTCGTAAAGCTAGTTCGATCGTGGAATCAAGCATCTTCTGCCCTTGGTCCGTAGCGTTTTCCGCGAACAGGGCGATAGTGTTGAGGAGTCCTGCTTGTACCATCTCGGCTGTGTTTCCTTCGCTTTGAGCAAACTCTCGTGCCACGTTCTCGCGCAATTCGTCAAGCGAGACAGCATGTGAATAGCGACCACCGATGAGATGAACTACCGCTTTCAGATAACGAGGGTATCCGTGTTGCCAATACATGTCCCTTGGGAGAAGGATTGGGTGACTCGCGTGGAAGTTCAGATAGTAAAGATTCACCAGTTGCTCATCGTCAGCCCACTCGGCATTCTGATCAGGCGGAGTAGTTGATATTCGACGCTGCAGTAGGGCCGAGTTTGGTGGAACGGCTGCATCGTCGAGAGGAAGCCATTGCGCTGCAGAGGACGTACAGGACAGCGCTTGTGCAACAGCGGATTGCGCGACCGGGCCAGAAGAAACGGGTGGGGTGTGAGACAGTGTCGGCTGCTCATCAGTATCAGCGCGCGTTATACCACGTCGGCGACCTCGTCCAGAACGCTTGTAGGTGCATGCAAAACCACGAGTCTGGCAGCGCCCGCATATAGGTTGGGTTCCGTCGCACTTGAGGTGGGTACGCCGACACTCTAGGCATGCGAGTGAGGCAGGCCGAGCATGATGTCGCGATTCAGAAGAAGGCATCCAATTCGACGGCAATGTGTTGTGGATTGAGAAGGTTTCCAGGTGCTGCGTAAGGCGACGCGATTGAAGATGCCGAAGACCCTGGCGAGATTTGGACCCCGAAGACGCTAAGAACGCGTCGTGAGCTAGCCTTTCTTGGTTGGCGCAGGGGCACCTGCCTTCTAATCATCTCCAGAGCTCAGTCACGCTCTCGCACAGCACAGACGGCCTCGACTCTATCACGACTTTCGAAACATTGTCTCGCTGCGGGTGCTTGAGTTCTTGACCGATGAGTATGAGCGTCTAGATCTCCACATGTGCGACACGTTGCAGATAGCCAGATCACAGCATATAATCTACCAATGATCTCTTCGATGGCAGATTGCCTGCATCGTAAGGCCTGGCTATATCTACCTGTCAGCACAAACGGCATCATCCATATGCTTTCGGCAGTGCGATATTCACCGTAAGACAAAACTTATCGCTGCTCGTTGTACGCCCAGCCGTCTGCCAATGACGAGCGCTGGGTCGCAAGCTGCTTAATCAATACTGCAGCATCGGTACGCGAAATCGTCTTTACAGCGAGGCGCAGGTATTGACTTCATTGAGCTACCATATACATATGCAGGGCGTAAGTCGACTAGGATATAACCGCATCACCTCTCAGGCATAAGAACACTTTCGTCTACGCACGAGATGGGGACTTGCTACTTCCCTCTGCGTCTCATTCCCGCAAAGATCCTCCAGCGTCATAATGTCGAGCAAATTTGCAGAAGCACACATCGGAGAACCTCAAGATATATTCAACGATCATAGCCTGGATCACAACGTGGCCGAGAAGGATGCGACCACAGCGGACGCCCATGACATGCACCGCATGGGAAAGACGCAGGAAACCCGGCGAAACTTCCGTTCTATCACCATTCTCGGATTCTGCATAGTTCTTCTTTCGACGTGGGAGACTATCCTTGCCACATCCGTCTTTGCCCTTGCCAACGGCGGAACAGCAGGGCTTATCTGGGGATACTTCATCGTCATGATTGGGTTCGGCTTCGTTGTTGCTTCGCTGGCTGAGATGGCATCGATGTGGGTACAGCTTAAT